CCTTTACCAACAAAACACCAGTAGCACCTGTCCCACACATTATGACAAACAAAAATTTCCCACACATTGCCACATGTCCTGTGGAGGATGGAGGGTAATTATACCTGATCAGGAAGTACTGGTATAGACTGTTGTTGTTGTTGTTATGTGCTGTCAAGTTGTCTCCAACTCATAGCAACCCCTCCTTGAGTTTCTGAGGCAGTATCACTACAGAAGTAGATTGCCTAATCTTCCTCCTGAGGAGTGACTGGTGGGCTTGAACTGCCAACCTTCTAGTTAGCAGTCAAGTGCCTTAGGCACTATGCCACCAGAGCTCCAAATGATTTATTGGATATTTATTTCACATTTTAGTTGTAGGTCACATGATCATTTTTCCAACTTGACTGAGTGGCTGGGGATTCTGGACATTGGGGTCAAGTGTCTTGTTGAGGAACATGCAGGGTTGAGCTACACACAAGCTGGGGTGGGAGATGGTTGGTTGAAGGGGTCAGCTGTAGATGCTAAGGCAAGAAAGAGTCTTGGAAAAACTACATCAGTTAGGTTCAAGACAGTTGTAGTGAGTTGAATGTTGGCCCCAAAGAGTTGTGTCTAAGTTCTAATCCTCAGAACCTGAATTTGACCATTTTTGGAAAAAGAGTCAGCAGATTAAGGATCTCAAGATGAGATCATCCTAGGTTCAGGGTAGGCCCTAACTCCAGTGACTGGTGTCCTTATAAGAGAAAGGCAGAAGGAGATTTGAGGCACAGAGACATAGACAGAGGGAAGGTCACAGCAGAGAATGGAGTGATGAAGCTACAAGCCAAGGAATACCAAGGATTGTCAGCAGCTACCAGAAGCTAGGAGAGAGACATGGAACAGATTTGCCCTCAGAACCTCCAGAAGGAACCCACTCTACCAACACCTTGATTTCAAACTTCTTGCCTCCACAAGTGTGAGAGAATAAATTTCTTATTGTTGTAAGCCACCAAGTTTGTGGTAATTTTTTATGGCAGCCCTAGGAAACGAATACAACAGTTAAGAGGAGTAGGTAAAGTTGACCCCAAAACTGCCAATCAGTAAATTGTGAAGTCAGAGGTGAGAAGGGGGTTTTCAAAGGTTAAGTCAGGTGATACAGGAAGCCAGGAAGAGGCGTGGTCAGAGAAGGAGCTCTCAGAAGGGTTTGAGCAGGGGATGAAGCATCCAAAGCCATGTTTTAGGGTCACACGTCTAGCACTGGAGGCCCATCTGCAGCAGTGCAAACCCACCTGCTCACTGATGCCTCAAGTGTCTCAGCCAGGCAGAGGCCATCATTGCACAAGCAGAGCTCAAAGGAGCCAGGTGCAGATGCTGTGTGAGAAGTCACCAAGCAACACACTTTGGGGTTGAGCAAAGCCTGCCTCCTGAGCATCTGTAGGACAGCAGCTGCTTCCAGGCCCTCTGATCCTCTTCCTCTAGGCTCCCTGGGGAAGACCTCCCAGAAAGGCCAGCTTGTTCAGGCCACAAGCACACGGGGCCAATTAAGCCCCTGGGGACCCCTCACTCCAGGCATCCTCATCTCTTCCTTCCTCCCTATGGGTTTTCATACCCACGCCCGCTCCCTCCCTCACTCTCAATCCACCCTCCTTCTTAACCCTGTTTTCCCTTGTTCTGCGACCCCACATTCTCTTAGTTTTACCCCTATATCTCTCTACTCCCTCAGAGTTCCTCTTTTGCCCACCTCTAATTGTTGGTGTCCCCGGGCTTCAGTTCTGGGCCTCTTCTCTTCCAATTGCTTCTCGAACAATCCACCTAAAACCTGAATCTGCTGTTGTTGTTAGTTGCCATTGAATGGGCTCCAACTCATAGTGACCTTATGATACCAAAACAAAATATTATGCAGTCCTATGCCATCTTCAAGGACCTTTGGTGGCATAGTGCCTAAGGCTTTTGACTGCTAACAAGAAGGCTGGCAGTTCAAACCCACCAGCCACTCCTCGGAAGGAAGGTTGGGCAATCTACTTCCGTAGTGATACCACCTCGGAAACCCAAGGAAGGGTCTCTATGAGTCAGATCCAACTCGATGGCAGTGTGTTGCATTGCACTGTTTACGCCATCTTCATGGTCACTGGTATGTTTAAGTCCATTGTTGCAGTTATTGTGTAGTGCCTTCCAACCTAAGAGACTCATTTTCCAGCACTCTATTGGACAACATTCTGTTGTGATCTATATAATTTTCAGAAGTAGATCACCAAGCCTTTCTTCCTAGTAGTCTTAGTTTGGAAGCTCCTCTGAAATCTGCCCACCATGAGTGACTCTGCTGGTATTTAAAAGGCCTGTTGTTGCTGTTAGGTGCCGTTGAGTCAGCTCTGACTCATAGTGACCCTGTGTTCAACAGAATGAAACGCTGCCCAGTCCTGTGCCAGACTCACAATACTTGCTGTACCTGAGCCCATCATTGCAGCCACTGTGTTTGTCCATCTTGTTGAGGGCCTTTCCCTTCTTTGTTGACCCTCCACTTTACCAAGCATGATATCCTTCTCCAGGAAATGGTCCCTTCTGGCAATGACCAAACAAGGTGAGAAGAAGTCTGGCCATTCTCGCTTCCAATGTGCATTCCGGGTGCACTTCTTCCAGGACAGATTTGTTAGTTCTTTTGGCAGTCCATGGTACTTTCAGTACTCCTCACCACACCACAACTCAAAAGCAACACTCTTCTCCGGTTTCCCTTATTCATTATCCAGCTTTCACATGCATATGAGAATAATGAAAATACCAAGGCTTGGGTCAAGCGCACCTAAGTCATAGCTTCCAGCATCACAGCAACATGCGAGCCAACAACAAACTGACACGTGTGTGGTGGCCCAAATCTACACTCCCCTATTTAAAAATCCTTCAGTTGTTCTCTACTGAACACAGGATAAAGCCCAAGGTACTCAAACCCTTGATCTTCCCTTCTCCAGTATCCACCTGTGGTAGTTGAATTTGTGTGTCAACTTGGCTGGGCCTGGTTGAGTGGCTGGGCAGCTGGTGGCAGTTATTCCCCATGATGAGACTGGCAATCAGCTCCATGGTGGGATCTACCACAAGCAGCTGAGTAGCTGTCTTTAGGATGTCTGCTTCCTGTACATAAGGAGAAGCCTTGGGGATAGTCTCTAGCTTATGGCATCCGTGGACCCTGCATATAGTCGTGTCACTGCTCAGCAGCCTGTCACGCTCTGCCGACCTTGGGACTTACAATGGACTGAAATGAATGGCTTGCCGTGTGGTTTGGTAACATCGGGACTGTGCCATTTTATTTGTCAACCGTGGGCTTGTTAGCCTCAGCAGCCAGTAGCTATCTTAGTAAAGCAAAGCCTCTAGCTTCAGTGGGCTGGGAGCAGGGGGCAGAGCTGAAGCCCAAAGTCGAGGGGCTTTCACACAGCCCCTAGAACCTGGCACTTTGAACTTGAACTTCTAGCCTCCTGAACTGTAAAAGAATAAACTCCTGTTTGTTAAGGCCATCCCATTTGTGGCATGTTTCTTGTCAGAGTGGCACTAGGTAACCAGACCACCCCCCACCCTGCACCCTACGTATTCTGAGCTATTAATTCATTCTTCTGCCTCACTGTGCACCAAAACCAAACCCACTGCCTTCAAGGCAGTCCCAACTCTTAGCAACCCCCATTGGGTTTCCAAGGCTGTAAATCTTTATGGAAGCAGACTGTTTCATCTTTCTCCCATGGAGCAGCTGGTGGGTTCAAACAGCCAGCCTTCTGGTTAGCAGTCAAACGCCTTAGGCAGTACGCCACCAGAGCTCTTAATGACCTCACTTAACAGCCTGGCAAGTTCTTGATCGATTTTTATACCATTCTGTGTCACAGTCATCGCTCCTCTGTCTCCACCACCAACACTGAGCAGAAGCCAGGCCAACTCACATGTGCTACTCAGCACCCACCACGGTACCTGGCACTTAACACTAAAAGGAGCAGTTACCGTTTGCTGGGTACTCTTTTAAGTGCTTTACACAAATCATTTTATCCTCATAAAAGAGTTATTTTATATTATTATCGATGATACTAATATTTATTATTATACCCATTTTATAGATGAGAAGATTAAGGTACAGAAATGTGGCTTACCCCAGCCTACACAGAGAAAATAGGGAGATTCAAACACAGACAGTCAGATACCACCATGCAACACCCCTCTTAATGAAAAGCTTTTAAATGAAATAGTCAGATTGATCACACGATTCTACAAACCCCTGCCTTGACACAGAGTTGCAGCAAAGAGAGAAAGAGTGTGAGCCCAGGGAAGTGGACCCAGGGTGGGAGATAAGACTGGGCCACAGAAATGGCTTCCCAGACATTCCAGCTTTGTCTGGCTCACCACTACTTACCTCCACCAGGGTAAAACTATCCCAGAGGTCAGCGCAGCGTCAGCCACAGGGGGACAGAGGCAACCCAGGCAGAACCAGCCAGGGCCAGCATGGCAGGGTCTATCAGCACCCCCACAAGTCACAGAATGAAGGCTGGGAAGGGTGCCCTGGCTCAGAAAGACCAGGCAGGCAGACACCATGAGCCCAGAGGGCAGAGCTGAAGCCCAAGGTGAAACGAGAAGGACAAGGTCAGGGTGGAATCCCGACAAGTACGTGGGCAGAGTCTGGACAGAGCAACACCGACTGAGGATGCTGATCCAGCTCGCCCAGGGCTCAAGGGAGGAGGGAGCAAATGAGTTGGGATGCGCTAATGGGAACAGAACAGCTCCCCAGCCTCTGGTTCCGGGGTTGGCTCACTCAGCAGCCACTCAGGATGCTGGGGCTCCCACCATCTGCCTCATTATTTCTATTTGAAACTACCGTGTTTGCAACAGGTGAGATGTGGTGGCACCTCCAGAGGAGAAAACATCTGAAGAAAGGCTGTGGGCTCACAACTTACCTCTGAGTCTCTAGGAGGGCCTGGACCCCACAGCCCATGCTGGGACCAGCACCTAGTTTGGTTTCTGAATGAGCAGGCACTCAGAGGTCCACCTTTTCTTTAAAATGGCCAAAGCCAAGCACTCACCCGCATTGGCTCATCGGGGAACCCAGGTTTGCTCGGTGGCTGGTCCTGCCGCCGGGATCTTAGGAGCTGTTTGGCCTGCTTTTCCGTCACAATTGGGGAGGCCTCTGAAAAACCGCAGGAGTCAGCACAGGAGTTCAAGCCTCACTCCCACAAAGCCAGGGCAAAGGATTTGCAAGTTCAATTGTGGTGAAAACACAGAAGTTCTTTTATGGAGTCTGTCCCAAAGGACAGGCATTCCACAGGGCTCAGAGAGGAACTTTAAATTATTTCTAGCATGGATAGCTCAGAGCAAAACCCAGACAACGTAAACACGTGTACCTTATTGCAATGTTCCATTCTTTTCAAAATGGGTGCTAATGTAGTGACAGGTTTTTTAAAATGCCTATTTCCTTTAAGTTCTTTATGCAATGTGTTTCTCCTCCCTGAGGTTTGCTTTGGTGGAACTTTTAAAAGTCCCAAATATAATAATCAAGTTTAACGTTGTTACTGGAAGATTACAATAACATTAAAATTATGCCAACCTTGGTCATCAATCACATATAAACCCTAAAGGAAGGTATTATGATAATAAAATTATATTAAATTTTTATAATCACGCACAAGCTTTAAAGGATACTGATAATAAATTTTAAAATAATAAAAGATACATGATAAATCAAATCTTGATAATCTCATATGAACTCTAAAAGAATATATTGTTGAAGATATATCAGCATTTTTGAGAATTAGTGCTCAAATATATTTAAAAAAAAAATTTTAAGAACAATGATGTATCCTTAAAGATAACAATTTTGAAAGCCTATTGTTGAAAAAACAGCACTCAAGTATCTATACACAATACCAACAAAACCAAAACCCACTGCCTTCAAGTCTATTTCAACTCACAGCGTGCATATAAGACAGAGTAGAACTGCCCAAAATGTTTCCAAGGCTATCATCTTTACAGAAGCACACTGCCTCATCTTCCTCCTACAGAGCAGCTGGTAAGTTTGAACCACCAACCTTTGGTTAGCGGCCGAATGCTTTAACCTCTGTGCCACCACAGGTCCTTTATATACTGTACACTATATTTTGACTGCTAATCAGAAGGCTGGCGGTTCAAACCCACCAGCCACTCCTC